ATTAATTTCCATCTTCTGATGACAGGAATACCAAAGGATCTTCAAACACATTCTCAACAACCTAAGCTTCAAGGTTAGTCCCTAATCCTTCAAGTCTCCATGCCTTTGCACCTTAAAAAAGGTCTTCTCTGATCACTATAAACAAAATGGCAGGGGCCAGTGAGATACATAGCTCAGTGGACAAAGTGCCTACTTTTGACCCTGGTCCCACATGCCATGCAGGCCCTGCCCCTGGGGCGCACTGAGCCGGCGGAAGAGTCTGAGTGTGGTGACGTACACCTATAATCCTCATGCTAGAGAGGCTGAAAACAGGAGGATCATCACAAGTGTGCACTGTGTAGTGAGACCCTATACCAAATACACAAATTGGAAAAAGTAAAAAAAAAAAACAAACAGCCTTTCCTCCCTTGTCCCAGCCCTGGTGCTGCCTTATTCTTGCAAGAGTTGGTTACCATTCAGTAAGCCATATTTTTATTTACTGATATGTCATCATGTTTTCCAACTAGGATGTTCGTTCCAGTGTCAGAGTAGAGATCTCTGTCTTGTTCGCTTCTTTTTCTTTTTCTTTTCTTTTTTTTTTAAGGTAAGTTTTGCTAAGTTTCTGAGTCTTGCCTCCAACTCCTGATCCTCCTGCCTCAGTTTCCCGGGAGCTGAAAGGCATGCACCACCACCACCCTTGGCCACTGGCATCTGTTCTCTTACTTACTGCCTCCCCATACAGAGCAATCCCACACACACTTTGAGCTTTCAGGGAACTAGAGCACATGAATGGAAGTCAGCCTGGGCCACCACAAGTATGAGAAGGGACCAGCCTTCCTGTGTGAAAATCAGAAATTATGAGCTTTGAGTTACTGGGGAACAGCCAAGATAACATTACCCATAGATAGATGGGCAGAAACGAAGGCCCTGAGATGCAGCCTTCATGGTACAGGAAATGGGGCACTGAGCTTCAGGAAAACCACTTCTGAATGGGACAGAAGGGATCCCTAAAAACTTGGAGTTGGCAGGGAGGATGTCTTCGCATCCCTATTAGAATGCCTGTCCCTCCTGGGCTTGCGATGTCTTCCTGGCTCTACTTTTAAAGATGGATGATAAGCAGCTGACAGAGATGGATGTGTTTTTCTGGCTTTCCTTGAATATTGAATGGGTGTGACTCTCTCCCCCAGAAACTCTAAGGAGCACAGGCTTATCAGATGCATTTATTCTGAGTCACAAAGCCAATCTTCATGCACTGGGTGCAGGAGCCTGCTGGGTGAGAAATGCTCATGCCTTTGATCATTGCCCCATCCAAGGGTCCGAAAATGGGTGAGGAAGAAGGAAACACTAGCACTGTGCCAAATACACCTGTGACTTCAAACTCTTGAGTCTTCCTTCTTAGAAGCCAGGGATTTAAGTGACAGGCTCTTCAAAGGCAACTTCCTGCCCCTTTTCAGGGTTCAAATAAAGAGGTGGGACTCGTTGGTGACATCCAAGCATTATTTGAAGTTTATATCAATGACAGCAGAGGAAGCTTCAGGTTTTCATGGGCACTGGTATGTCAAGTAGGTGGCCTGCACCTCTCAGGTTTGAGAATGATTTGTTTTTAAGAAGGTAAAAGGGAAGAAATGAAAATCAAATTTAAACTTAAGAAGAATGAAGTGAGAACAACTACTATCTGGACGATTTTGTTTCCATAAATTATTTCACTTTGTTTTTGTGACAGCTCCCCAACCATGAATTGATACTATTCCTTATTTTATAACTGAAGAAGCCACAACTCAGAGGTTTTTTAGGGAATGACCTCAAGTCCTATGGACCTGAGAGGAGAAGGAAGTGTGAGCACAGGTATGCAGTCATCCCCTGCCTCCTTCCACTGGATGGATG